GATTATTTTCCGAGCAAAAAATAAAACTTAAAACGTAACCATTATTTTCCGAGCAAAAACTAAAACTTAAAACGTAACCATTATTTTCCGAGCAAAAAATTAAACTTAAAACGTAACGATTATTTTCCGAGCAAAAAATAAAACTCAAACATAACGATTATTTTCTGAGTAAAAAATAAAACTCAAAATATAATGATTAAACTTGATTTTTATAAGTAAAAATTAAAAAATAAAAATCAGTGCCGCTGAAGGTACTCCGAGTAATAAGAAATATATTGGTTTACTCCTTATGTACGTAGCATTTCTCCTTCCGCGTGATTTTTTGAGTTGAAATTTCAAGGGATAATCGTTATTTGCGGTCCCTGAATATTCAAAATATTTTTCATGGTATTTTTTTGTTAATTAAAAAAAATATATAGCTCATTTTACAACAAAAATCATGTAAATCAAAATTTCACACTTTAGAGAAAGTTGGTTTAAGTTCACCAAATTATCAAAAAAACATTTAACTTTTTAATCATAATTTTTACAAAAAATTCTATTATGCAGTTTTATAGCCCATTCAATTTAATACAATAAAGTGCAATTTTAAAGTTGCTAAAAACTCCCTTGATTTTTGAAATTTTTTTACTGGCGATTTTCTTCCTTATAACGATTTTTTTCAAAGCAAAAAAAAAATATAAAATGTCGACGGGATGTTTTCGCAACTTCAAAATTGCACATGCATATATATTTTNAAAAAAAATACCATGAAAAATATTCTGAATATTGCAAAAAAAAATATATGCAAAATATTTCTGTGAGTGACCGTATATGCATTTGTACTTGTAGTACAATAACTATGTTATAAATTAATGAGAATATGTACATACATACATATATGTTTGTAAAATTTTATATTTGTTTTTTGTTGATTGCAAATACTGATTTATCGCCTTAATAAATATGTAAATGAATTACAATAAATTGTACTTTTTTTTGTTATATCAATCTGATTTAAAATACTATAATAGGATGATCACAGATGTCTTGCACTTTTGCCTGAATTTCGGGACAATCCCGGGATCCCGGGACATCCCTACTTGCAACCAAGGCCGTGCACCTTGAAGCCGTCACTAGCATGTCTACCGAGCATTTCTTGTGGGCCCTCCAGCGTTTCATCGGGCGACGTGGACTTTGTCACGACATTTATAGTGACTGTGGCACCAACTTCATTGGTGCAGATGGCATTCTAAAAACTAATTGCCAAAAATTTCGAGCCGCGGAACGCGAAGTCATCCCACGACTGACTGACCTACATATTCAATGGCATTTTAATCCACCTCAATCTCCCAACTTTGGAGGACTTTGGGAAGCCAATGTAAAGTCAATTAAATACCATTTGAAGCGAGCTGTCGGTGGAACCCGGTTGACATACGAACAGCTATCTACAGTCTTGGTTCGTATTGAGGCGTGCCTTAACTCTAGGCCGTTATGTACAGATGATCTTTTGGTGCTCGCACCCGGGCACTTTCTAATCGGCGATGCTTTACTGTCACCACCGGAATCGTCTCCTGAAAACAAATCGCTGTCGTTACAATATTTTGAGCTGCAAAGATTGGTTCAACAATTTTGGATAAGATGGTCCACAGATTGGCTCTCGCATCTTCAATCGCGTCCTAAGTGGAGACAACAAGAACCAAATCTAGCAGTCGGTGAACTTTTCTTGATAAAGGATGATCGATTGCCACCCAATCAATGGTTATTGGGGCGTATTACGGATCTACATCCCGGATCAGACAGCATTGTTCGTGTCGTCACTGTTCGTATGCAACACGGTCTTTACAAGCGGTCGATTTCTAAAATTTGCAGATTGCCGATTCCAACTTGCAATGATGGCAACCTAATTCACTAACCCCATTGTTATTTTCTTATAGTTACCACGGTACCTTAACTAACTCGCTGTCATCAAAAACAAACGTTCGTCATAATGCTGGAGTCAGCATCGGGGGCGGTATGTACAATTTGTAGTGAACAATTATGCAACTCATCATGTACTACATCCAGTGTTGCCGCGTCGTCTCAAGAAAATGTATCCCTGACTAAGCCAAAAATGTATCCAATTTTTTTGTTACATATAAATCTCATAATTTGTAAGAAAACCAAATATTTTCATGAAAAAGACATAATTTAACCCATGCTAAGGACTTGGAATACATGTGCATAAAATCAAGCATTTGTAATTTCAATTTATAAAGTAAATTTTTTGTGCATAAGTATTTTGCAAAAAAAAAAATATAATAATTAGCAAGTACACTCTAAAAAGAGCATGTAAAACTACTACTGAAAAGTATCTATTTTTCAACAAGAATCTGTATAAATATACATATAAGATGTTCAGTATTTGATTTTGAACTTGGGATCTTTAAAATATACACATATATA